GCTCTGTGCTGACAGCTCAGAGCCTGGAACCTGCTTCACATTCTGTGTCTCCCTCTCTCTCTGCCCCTCCCTTGCTCGCTCTCTGTCTCTGTCTCTCAAAATAAAGACATTAAAAAAAGTTTTTAAAAAAAGAAAAAAGCTATAATTATCTCCCCTGTACCAAGCAGCAGCAAGCTTAAGTATACAAAGATTTGTTAGGAATATAAACCTAGTAAATGGCAGAGCTGCGAGGCAGTAAATAAGTAGTGGATATTAATAAGTTAAAAGCATGTAGTGGGATACTGAATAATAGGCAGGGCTCTAGCTTATTGATGGCCCATGAGCCCAGAAGAAATGCTTTTTTGCAATATAGCAGTAGTGAGTAGAAAGGGTAAAAAATGCATGGCACCCAAAATTCTGAGCAGCTGTTGTTTGGTAAAATGGAAGAAATGCCAGAAGTACATATGTGACAATGGTTACTCACTGTGCAACACACTATACTCATGACAGACACATTATAGGAAAAAAATATTAGACAGTATTGGGTAGAAAGCCAAGTGAGTGTTAAGACAATACCACCTAAGAATGTTTAGAAATAAAAGCGGCTGCTAGCAACGGCTAGAGAGAATCTCCCAAGAGATGGGAAAGATACAAAATAAACACCTGTTCACATCACCAGAGGGATGAACAAGGAGAAAAGAGAAAGTTTTGTCTAACATGCAAAGTACCACAAGCCAAGAGTGGCGTTGGAAATGGGAATGGCATGAAGTGGGGCTGCCGTGTACACTGGCCCTGCTTTGGCTAAAAAGGGCAGTACACTTGAGAGGAAACAGCAAAAAACAGAAGAACAAAAAAGTCTCAGAGCGCTTCTCAATAGGTGACTATTGTGGTTAATTATTTTTGTCATTGCCTTCCAGTCGTCAGTATTCACTGCAGCTCTGAAGTGATATCATGCATTTTTATAGGAGGAAATGGTTTGTTCTGTCTAAAGTTTAAGTCCTTTAATGTACTTCCAAAGACATACATTTTGAAAAATAGTGACAGAAAAGTGTAGGAAGAACAAAACTTCAAATAAGTAAGAAATAATTTGCTTGGGGAAATATATTTTTTACTGTTTTTTAATAAATTAGTTGGTGAACCTATTGCAGTGTTCAACTTTATTAACTGAAAATTAATAAAATTATATAATAATTATGATGCTGTTATATTAATTTTTAAAAAATGTTAATGTTTTTATTTTTATTTTTTTGAGAGAGATAGAGAGAGAGAGAGCATGAGCTGGGGAGGGGCAGATAGAGAGGGAGACACAGAATCTGAAGCAGGTTGCAGGCTCTGAGCTGTCAGCATAGAGCTTGATGTAGGGCTTGACCTCATGAATCACGAGATCTTGACCTGGGCCAAAGTCAGACGTTCAACTGACTGAGCCACCCAGGCACCCCTTATATTAATGATTATTAATAGAAATAAGAAAATAATGGATATTAACTAATGATAAGAGTATAAATTCATAGAAAATAAATTAATTAAAATTGAAAGAATATTAGTTTGAAGGTACATCAAATTATTCATCTGCCCAAGGCACAAATTTCCTGAGGTCTCTCTTGGAAAGAGGTGTGAGATTAGGTGTGAAGCAGGTTGAGGTTAAATTATGGAAGTCCTTAGATAATAGTCTCAAGACACTCAGATTTTATCCCATGCTCAGGAAAAGACTCCGGAAAAGACCTGCTGAAGTAATTAGGCACGAAATAGTGACAGCCTAGCCAAAAGGTGATTTAGGGTACCAAAGATACATTGACACATTTTAAAGAAAAAATAACACTGCTTTGTGACTGACCAGGTAAAAGCAAAATTCAAGAAGCGTAGGTGATAAGCATGAGAGAGAAGGTGAACAATGGCACCCATCACAAAACAAAGAATTTGAAGCAGAAAGCAGAAGCTCATTGGAGGGATAAAAAGAATGTGTTCAGGTGGAAATTTAGACACACCCATAAGACAAGGATTAAGTCAGCATGTAGCTATGGGAAGGATACCTTAGAGGAGTCCTCCCTCAGCCTGCATTATGTCTTCATAGAAGAGTCTGCACAAAATAAGATGGTGACAATAGCTGTCTTCATGGCATGCCGGTGAAGAAACACCCATGGAATATGCATTGTTTTCCACCTCCTAGGTCATTCATATGTGGATCCTAGCACCAATTGCTGTCACATCTTGAATATAAAAGGCAATAAATCTATGGAATTTCAAATGTAAGCCCAAGTAAAATATTTTCTTTCTTTATATTCACACATTTCTTCAGAACTGAAATAAAATATCTCACATATAATGAATTATTTTTCTTTGCTGAGCAACAGATTTATTATTCATTGACTAAAAAAACATGTTTAGCACAGATATGTAGAAAGATAAAAACATAACACTCAGATTTTCACTGATTTTTGAAAAAGACATTTCTCAACTTGTAGAATGTATAAACACAGACATGAATGATACCGATATCACATTTTTAAAAATTGGCAAGAACAGTTGGCCTTAATAAAAATAAAATTAAACTGGTAACTTTGGAAACACTGCGTTATGAGATGCGACCATGTTTCTTCAGGAAAAATCTACATGTTGGCTCTAAGTCACATTTATCTATAGGAGTAATTTGAATTCAGTGAATATTAAAGCCCAGTTATGTCAAGAGGATAAACAATAACCACAGGCATTAGGTCAGGAAAAAGCTGAGCTCTTAAGATCAACATTCTTATTTTAAAAGCTCTAGGTGCATTCGGAATAATCTTATTGATTGTATTAATAATGGCTAAAGTTGGAAGTGATGAAATTTTCAGTTGCCTTAGATTGCTATTACTATCACTATCTTAAAATTTTTGAATCCAGCTTTTCATTACATGTAATTAAGATTCATTTTTTCCCCATCTATGTGAAAGCTTTTCAGGAGATAAGAACTTGGAAAGGTAGAAGAGTGAGGAAAACTAACAAAAGGACCAATATGTGGAGGAGAGAGATAAATGAATACAATAATTTAATTCAACTAGCATTCATTATTATTCAAACGACAGTCTACAAAGGTTTGCAAAGAGAGAGGAGGATGCAAGGGCCAAACTCCATGAACGTAAAATCTATGCAGGGAGACAATAAATTCTATGTGTGTGATTCAAATAACAGAAGAAGACAAAAGGAAGGTAAAACAATACTGCAGGTGCCTCATAGTGTATGCCAAAATGCTGAGAGAATCTGGTATCATCAAAACCGGCTCCAAATAGAATGCGTATATGGCATTACCCTCTCAAGGAGGTATACAGTTTGGCACAGGAACCACAGACAGGAGAATAGTATAAGATAACTGGAGTGGAAGTGGGAAGCCAGGAATAAACTCAGAGAAGATCTAAGAAGGAGGAGCATTAGGCAAAGTGGGCAAGTGAATGAGCGCAGGGAATATAAGGCCAAGGCATCAGAGTCTGATTCATGAGCTAATAAGAAGCCACTGTCAGCTTTTAAACAGGAAAGTAACTTCAGAATTATTTAGATGTTGTGGGTCTACTGTGTCTCCAACAATGTCTTGGGTTGAACGAAGAGGTGATCAAACTCAGTCTGCATATGCATGGTCAATCTGGCCTTTACCCTGGAGGTATGAGTGACACATACATGGTTTTTATGATAAAAAGCTAGATTTCAAGAAACTATCTGATAATCAGGCAATCTCATTTTTTCATAAATTGGCATATAAAGGCATTTATAGTTGACTATGATCACAATTATTATAAAGATGATTCGCCCCAATTTATTCCCAAATGATTGAATGAATAAATGCATATAGTGCTATGGAGTGAATTCTGTTGCCCCAAAATTCATATTTTGAAGTTCTAACCTCCAGTGCGATGGTACTTGGAGATGGGACCTTTGGGCAATAATTAGGTTTAGATGGAGTAATGAGGGTGAAGTTCTTATGAGGGATCCAGTACCCTTATCAGAAGAGGCAGCAGACCACTTTCCTTCCTCTCTTTCCACCATCTGAAGACAGAGGGAGAGGGTGGCCATCTGCAAGATGGAACAGGGCCCTCACCTAGTTGCTGAACCTGCTAGCACTTTGATCTTGAACTTCACATCCTCCAGAGCTGTGAGAAATACTTTCCTGTTGTGTAGGCTACACAGTCTATGGCATTTTGTTATGGCCAAAGCTGGCTATTTTTATTTATTATTATTAGTTCATATTTCTTATCTCAAGCTGACCAATACACTTAGTGTCATTATAAACATTTTCCGACACTTCACTGATCCTCTCTCCTGGTCCCTCCCTGAATTTTTCCTGGCTTTACCTTACACAGGTGGCAGATAAAAGGAGATAACCTCATATTTACTGGATGTTTAGTTAGCACCTGTTAGATGGTCTACATATATTATCTAATTTAATCCTCATAAGAATATGTGACACAATGATCTATAGGAAGTATTTTTGAGATAATTTTATTGGGAAAAAAGTGAAAGAAAATGTACACATTTGATAATCCACAATTAGGAATCTTCTAAATAGTGTACATATATAAGTAATTTAATCTGGTAACCACAGTGGACAATGAAAATAAAACACTCCTTGATAACTTTTCTTAAGGATAATCAATAATTTATTTTTTATTGTCACAATTACCACAGTTATCTAGCTACATGACCAATGTCACTACATACCACGGAAGATTGTCCACTTACACTTTACTGAGACAAAGACAACGGCCATTGATGTGTTAATGTACAACGGGATGTTAAAAGGAGATGGTTTTTATGTGTAAGACAAGACGTGGCACATGATTTATTTATTAACAGATTTGATTTAATACATATTATGCCAAGAAGCAAGCATAGAAATGTTTTGGCATTGAGTTGTTATTAAAGTAGAAAATAAGCAAACTAGAGAAATAAATCCAGATCTTAACTTACAATAGATACATTAAAGTAGGAAATTAATTGGCTCCTCAGTATTTTTGTTCAAGTTTTTTGTTTTCTTTCCTTTTGTTTGTTTTTTATATATAAATGAGTAATATGAATATATCACAAGTTAAAGAAAGATCTCAGCCAAAAAGAAGTTAACAGTATATGAACAACAAATGAAAAATTACCAGGTATTTTTGCTTACAAAAAATTTAAACTATAAAGAGTCACAAAATATATATAAAAATGCCACATTGAACGAGGCAATCATACTCTACCCAAACTGGTAGCGCCCTCCTAACATCGGCTGCATCGCTGTTCATTCGGTCATACGGTGGTGACTGACAAAAAGGCATTATGAACTCTTGTGCCATCAGGAGATTTGGCCCCATGGGTCATCAGTTCTTGGATTGTCATCCAGTTGTCCAAAATTTTCTTGTTTCTTTTTTTCATCATCTTTTTGTGACTCAGTTCAAGGATGCTGATCTCCTTTCTGCCCTCGCTGCCACTCTGGGGGCTCTCCTTGAGACACTCCAACCGGCTCCGCATCATGAACTCCCGGCGCCGCCGCTGCTCCTTGGCCCGAACCAGGTGTTGCTTTCTTTCCTCTTTGCTCCAGTAGCGGCCCATTTTCATCTCGCTCATGGTGTCATCATCTGTCGTCATCCCACTGCGCTCCTCCTTGATCTTTAAGGCACGTTCCCTCAGAATCCGGTCTCGTACTGGTCTCTTTGTTATGTACCGTGTCCCGTCGCTCCGAATTTTCACCTTCCATTCCATCTTGGGCTCTGAACACTTCTGAGACTCCTTGCACATGCTCACTAAACTCAGCTGACTCTGAGCATACTCAACTGCAGATTTCTGTTGAATCAACTGCATGTAGCTTTGATAATGGCGGGCATGGGCTGGGATGTTTGCATATCTATAGGAAGAGCTGTGGTAAGGAGAGAGGTAAGGGATGTGTTCCCTGCTCGATTTCTCCTGATCAGAAAGCCTGTTGCTCTCTGAAACCTCCTTGCCTTCAATGCTGCCACCTGCTTCAGTGGTTCTGGCTTTGGTGGAGGTCAACTCTTTACTGCTCAGCCCGGAAGAAGACTGATTGGCAGCCATTGTGCTTCTCAGGTTTTTCTTATTGGTGAGGTTGATCATTCTCGGCAGGGAACTGTCAGGGGAACGGTCCACGGTGAGTGGAGTGCTTCGGCAGCTTTCAGCTGTGTTGTAAGCGCTAGAACTGTCCTTGTCGGACTTTTCTGGGTGCTCGATGATGTCATCTAGCTTTCCCCTTTGCATATCTAGGCTGGTGTTATAATTCCGGAATCCTCCATCATGCAGCGCCCAGAGGTCGCCATACTGGTCTGTCACTTTCTGGAGGCGGTGAGCCTGCATGATGTTCTGGCACTCCAGCTCAATGTTTCTCAGTTCTTCGTTAAGCAACTGTAGCTCGTGCTCCACTCCCTCTTGTTCCCCTTGATGGCATTCTATTGTGCTGCTCGAGTAATACAGGTCATATTCCCCATGGTTCCGAATCTTGCATTTGAGCTCCAAGAGCTGTCGGAATCTTTCACACTCCTCATCTGGGTTGCCAATGCAGTCTGAGTCGATGTATTCACCAGACACGAAGCTCTCATTACACTGGAGCTCCACGCTTCCTAGCGTGTCTTGGCTCTGCCCCAGCTCTCTCTTGCTCTTCAGAGATGCGCTGTTGGGACCCTCGGCTGCGTTCTCCTGCTCTGAGCTCTCGTCGTTCCGCAAGCTTTCATCGGTGCGCCCCACCCCACTGTCCTTCTCGTGGTTGTTGGAGGAGGACGTTGCCGTATCTGTTGTGCCCTCTTCTTCTTCTTGTTTTTTTGGCTAAGAAAACCAAGTTGAGAGAACAAAGAAAATTAATAATCTTGAGAAACACTGATTGGCGAAAAACTCAAAAGAGTGATGCTTCTTGGCAAATGTGCAGTTCCTAGAGAGCTGTTCTAATTTTAGTATCCATGACACTTTTAGAGATAAAGGCAATTAGCTCAAGTCAGCTTTTTCTTAATTAAAATAAACCAAAGCTGCTTGGATATGGCTGTCATACTTGACTTGGGAATAAATAAAACATTAGGGCACATTTAAATACATGATCCTTACCTTAAGGATCTCTCTTACTTGGGAAACTGGCATGCAGGGGTGTAAATGAGGTGCCTTTAGGAGTCTCTGAGATGGTAACACACAAAAGGATGAGGGAGACAGGTGGTCTAAATGGTCTTCTGCAGAACGGAGGCCTGGAGTTCTGAAGCCGCATCACCTTACTATGATGATTTTTTTCCCTGAACTTTAAGTTCAGAAGAAACTTCACTGATATAGTAATGGTAAGCCAAACAGCACAGTGTTTCAAGAATAGGTTAGTACTATAGTCTCGGACCTTCTCTCTATCGAGGAGGAACTTTAATCCCAGATGTATTCAGCTTATTAGTGACACACAGAGAGATGGAAAAGGCTAGTGCCATTCCCCACAGTCAGGATTTCTTTTATGTCCAGGATGTCATATTTCTGGGTACATGTGTCCTGACTGACCTTAGTCCGTCTCCAAATCACACTGCTGAAAAGCAACTATGTCATCTTAAGGCTTATTTGAGTGACATAAAAAATATTTTTCTACTCTCAGTAATATCGTTTAAAGGTGAATTTTATTCTGCTGAGAGTGACAGTCCTCATGAAAATCGAAGGAGCACTGATTGCCAGATGTGGGCATAATGTGAAAAAGTATATTTTTCACATATGTGTGAATGCATACTCATAGGTAAACTATTCCTCGGTAGTTTTTGGTTTTCATGCAGAACAATTAACTTACTGCCCGAAGAGGATGCGTATGTAGTTCTTTCTCTGTGAACAGGGTAAAGTTATTGTTTTCTCCACCACTCATCATATACGAGTCTACATGGCAGTTTCTACATTGTATTTTCTTTATGTGTAAATCCACTATTTTATACATATTTTCCTCTAGTAGGTATAATTATACAATTCAATAAAATTAAGCCTGTTAGTGTTGCAAGCCCTGATCACACAGAGACGCTAATCACGCATCATGCAGTCTCCAATCATCATGTTCTGATCTGCCCTCCCGAAGGAGGAACAGGTAAGGATTATCCTACCTGATGATAAAGCCTGTTAGTGTTAAAGAAGAATAATTAAAGAATGCATGAACAAAGGTATTCTAACCCAGGTTTGAAAGAGTCTCTCAAAAAATTGTTTTAGTTTTCTTCCACAGAAGTCATGGTAGAACAAAACATAACCTCAGCTGCAGAGGAGAGAACATGACCATGTGTCATTCTTGAATTCTCAGTCTTTCCCTAAAATATTTCTCCTCATTTGTTGAAAACATACTGAGATTTTTACATGCCTTATTGGTAAAAAAAAAATAACATTATAAATAAGTAACTGAGGGCTTGGTATATCCGTATGTTCCTTGCTACAAGCTGACAATAGTATCCAATATGGTGACATCAACATGCTGTGACATGACACCGCCAGAGGATGTTATTAAGTTGGACATTTTAGGTTACATACCACAGTACTGACATTTGTTTTTTCATATCTTTAATGAGCTTAAAAAATACAAGAAGGTTAGTATTTCTTTATCTTATTTTTTTGTTTATTTATTTATTTTGGAGGAGCTAGCGCAAAGGAGGACCAGAGAGAGACAAAGACAGAGAATCCCAAGCAGGCTCCGCACTGTCAGTGCAGAGCCAGATGCGGGGCCCAATATCAAGAACCATGAGATCATGACTTCAAGAGCTGGACGCTTAACTGCCACCCAGGTGCCCCTCTTTATCTTATTTTTATATGGAGTGCAAAGGATACAGACAAATTATACCATAAGCGATGTTCCACAGTGTGTCGAGAGCAGCCGTAAGGCCAAGGATAGTGTGTAAAGTGAAATTTGTAATGTCTACATACGTGTATTTAAGTTTTGTAGTATGGATATACATCTTATTTTTATTTTTTTAATTGAATTTGCCTCTCTGTAGTCACTGGTTTATGAGCAAATGTGAAAATAAAAAGGTTTTCCATTCTCAAACCTAGAATTCCTAGTTTCTAACGTAACACTATTCTATCATTTATCATTTCCTATGGAATTATTATGGTGACAGGCTTCTACCAAGACATTTCTAATGTACTATTATTGTTTATAAGGGCAAAGGACTTTTAAAGGTTTCTGTACTTCTTATCATTTTTCAGTCTCATGGTGAAGAAAAATTTCCACACGATGAGAATCTAACCTCAGGGACATCTAGTGTTACCTCAAAAGACCTCGCATTTGTATTACATCTGATGAGTAGGCAGCATTTGACACCCTATCACTTCACCTGAACAGGATTTCTCCCTTCTTTCTTTATTCCAACATCCTCCTGTCAATTCTGTATCAGGTCACATTTTGTATCTAAGAGAGAAAAAGCCTCGAGCAAGGACTTTCTGGCTTGTAACTAGCAGCTGCCACCAAAAAATATCTTTATCTGTGGCCAGCGTTGAAGTCACACATAAAAATTTCAGTCTGTCCTACCTATATTGAAAAGCAATCACCACAATAGCAGCATTAGTTTTGAGCATGGGCTACTGTTTGTGAAGTGGCCAATGAGCATCCATGCTCAGCACGGAGTAGAGCAAGTGGTTATGTTGACACTGTAGTTTGCAATATAAGGATTTATTTAATATATGGGCATAGGTGCACACACACGCGCGCGCACACACACACACACACCTCTGTTTTAGAATGCTAGCATGTCAGTAAATTCCATCCTTCACTTCGTAAAATGATAGGATGCTTGTGTTTCATGTCCCTACGCCTAACTGTGCAGCATTTAAAAAAAAAATTATCTCTTAGAATGTGTTAAGAATTAATGTTGAGAATAAGATGATAAGTAAACAAAATCAATAAACTGACGGCAGAAGTGTTAATGAGTTTGTATCAGGCAGTTGAATAACATGAATTCAACACACAAAAAATCTAGAAAATATTTTCAAAGATCTAGTATATACTGATCTTGTTTTTATCCAACAGGAACAACAACAATCAGAAAAGAATCCCAAAACTCAGTTTTCCACAAGCCACTCTGTAATCTTTCACCAGCAATGAATTAAGAGCAGGAACTTTGTTCATTTTCTTTGTGTTCTCAGGATCAAGTGTGGTATGTGGAACATATTAGGAGCACAGCATTTTTGGTTGAATGATTATGTGAGCCTAAGGCAAGATGATATCAACAATCTCAAATAAGGCAACTCTTCTTCAGGAGTATACAGGTGGAACTGTGATACCAAAACCACAAACAAGACTGATGGCCTACGGCATGTCACCATCATACTGTAGTTGCCCAAATACTCAAGCAGACACATTTATATTTTAAATTGTAAAATTCACTTTGGGGCTTTGGGGGGAGAGGTTATCACGTGAGATAAAGTTGGTCTCCAGTTGGCATATTGAAAAGCAAGACATATTTTTGCTATTAAATTTCATCATTGGGTTGAACAGTCCCCGAGTCAACATTTCAATACTACCAGACTCTGTCAACAATGGTCCCAAAGCTTTCCAAGCTAGAAAGATATCAATAGGAAAAAAAATGTATTTATTCCCTCTGCTTCATTTGAGATGCCCATCTGCTCTAAAAAATTACCATTACAGAGATGTTTGATCAAACTCTTTGATTTGGTTTTATACTCCATTTATGGTTATACATTAAAAAAACCCCCACTTAGCCACATTTCGAATGTCGTTCAAATTGTTGGCCCTACCTGCTCCACCTCATTGGCCGTGCGCTGCATTGCTTCATTATGCTGCTCTTCCAGCATCTCCAAGTTTAACTCCTCTAAGAATTCATTCCTTTCATCTTCCAGCCAGCCTTCATCCAGCTGCAAAAGAATACATTAGTACATTATATTAGGTTAGTGGGAACTCATGCTAAAACAGAGTAAACTTAAACGGCGATGCCTGACCAGTTCCTTTTATCATAATGATTCTCTTCAGAATACCAGCCTCTGATAGTTCACCTCTCAGAAGGAGGAAAAAGTGATTTAAAAAAAATTGGACTTGTATGCCTTTTATCCTTCCCTGAAACACAGCTACGGGTTTTCTCTCATAGCCAAGTAGATCTCACGGCATAGGACATTACCATCTTTCAAAATGTATGAAAAGCATATTGCATAATCCACAGCTGTCACGCTTATTACCTCCAACAGTCCCCGTGTTAAAGAACTGCAATGGTACTAATAGGGCCATGAAACAATTGGGCTTTTTTCCTTAACAACAACCTCCAATGAGACTGCACACACAGTGTTCCCCACCCCCTGAACACACTGCTGCTCCTACCCTCGTCCTGCCTTTTTGTTTTTAAGCAGATGGCTTCCAACTTAACAAGATGGCTGCTTGCCACAAATACAGACATTTATTTTATCTGGGGGGAAGAAAAGAAAAAAATTTAAGTTATTCTTCTCATTAAAAAAAAGGTGATGCTATGCCATATCTATTTTAATTCAGTTTTCACACCTAATTGCAATATATATATATATATATATATATATACACACACACACATACATACACACACACATACATATATATATACATATATAGGTATATGTGTATATATATCTGAAACTGTGCATTTAAGGGGACTGAGGCAGTGTGGAGCATGCAGGGTTTTGTTTGTGGGTCCAGAATGTACGTATTCTGGTGGGAGTCTTATACAAATGAAACTGAATAAATCCTGTTGGCTTCTCAATAACAAGTGAAGTGAAAAACCTTGCTAATATGATGAGTGTTGACAGTCAATACAGATAATTTGCCTCAAAGTGGATTTCTGGAGCTGGATTACATAAATTAGCTGTCTATGCTGATTAGATTACCTGAATTATTGTCAATGCTCTGTTTTACTCTGTGTTAAAAGAAACAGCAGCTTTCTAATGAGCCAAAATTGACAATACGGTTGACCCTTGAACAACAGGAGTTTGAACTGCGTGGGTCCACTTATATGTGCATTTATTTTTTGATAAATACACTACGCTATTCTATTTTTTCTTCCTTATGCTTTTCTTCATAACATTTTTTCTCTAGCTTACTTGACTGTAAGGAGTATATAACACATGTAGCATATAAAATATGTGTTAATGGACTGTTTATGTTGTTAGTAAGGCTTCCAACCAACAGTAGGCTATCAGTATATTAGTTATGGGGAGTCAGAAGCTACACGCAGATTTTCAACTGGGTGGGGGTGTCAGCTCTCCTGTTCCCGGCATTACTCAGGGGTCAGGTCTAGTTTGAGGTGTTTTCAGCCCTCAACAATGACAAAGTAAGCTCTTCAAGATAACTGAGATGGTAAAACTTCGAGACAAAACAAATTCTGAAAGAAGGACATCCAGTTGCGCCAGAAGAGGCGTTAGCATATATGTGTCATATTCATTAATATGAAGGTGGTTGTAGGTTTCTTGGTATTTATTAAAGGCTACCTAGAACTTAAATTACCTCACATTTGACTGGGATGAAAAGTGTAGACACATTTATTCATCCTCGTTTATCTTCATGTAGCCTGAAAAACTTGAACAAGTTCTACCCCACTGGCTTTGATATGCAGATGAACTGTGAAAATTAAGCTGACTAAAAATTCCAATTCAATTTATAATTGTCCAAGCTTTACATTCTCTAATCCCTTTTAAGTTTCATGAAGCTGCATACTCTAGACTCCAAAAGAAATGACATAAAGCTAGAAATGTTTCCTTTTTATAAGCACACCAAGGGCTTTTTCTTTAATCATGTCAAAACAAAATATTTGCTTACTCTGAAGTAGTGAATGATGGAACAGAGTCTTCTGAAATTTAAATGAATGGGTGGGAAAGATAAGAAGAACAAACAGTAGAAATTAATGATTCCCTATAACTCTTTTCTTATTAACAAATCCCACAGATCCTTGAGTTGCCATCCGTAGTCAGTGTACGTCTGCTCTGATAAGTCTTTCCTCTAGGCTAGAGGTATACACAGCATAGTAAGTAAGGAGAGATTCTTCTTGCTCACTCCTTTCCCTATTGTATTTACCCTTCTACCTAGATGTGCATTCACGACAGTCTGAGTTTCAGGCTACACTTCCTTGAGCTGAGCTGCAAGAAAGTAGGGCTCTCATTATGAAACAAGGGGATCTGTCTACACAGTAGTGGACACACGTGGCATTTCAGGGAAAGGAACAACCTGCACTGTCTCTAAAAGTAGTGTTTACAAGTTCCTGTGCGAGCCCTCTCTGCCCCAATGTCCCCAGGGGAATAGGGCCAAATAGCAATATCTTTAATGGTCTGAGGAAGAAAATGGGCAGGAAATGAAAGAAAGTTGACAGGGAATGAAAGAAATGAGTTATTTTAAAATATTGCACAGATGTACCATATTGCCCCCAGCAACTCTGTAGATCATTTCTAAGAATGCAGAGAGTACTTGAAACATTAAAAAAAGAAAAAGCTTAGATAAAGCACACAAAAAACTTCCACATTCTCATGGGATAAAATTCACATGCCAAAAATGCAATAATAAGATACACTGAAATTGATTTAAAAATACAGGTGATAGAAAGGCAAGTTTATGGGGTTTTTTTTTTTTTTTTTGGTTTTCTTTTTTCTTGCCATTTTACAGCATGTGCTGCTTAAATTAGAATTTCAAAAATATGGTGTTAAAATGTATTTTCTTTCCTTATTTTTCCAGAAATCTGATTTTCTAAAGGCAATTAGCTTTCTTTCAATGGCATGAGGCTTCCTGAGGCTCGAGGGGCTAAAGCAGATCCCGATTTTGACAGGATGGTATCTTCCCCTCAACAGTGGAAAGGAAGTCTCATTTGAAAATTCATCCTCCGACATTGATTCTATTGGATCGGGAGTGTAGCCAGATACTTGAAAATGCCACTGGTTCTAGCAAGCATACGTGTTCTTTTAGCTATAGAGCCCATCTTATGTCATTAATTTCTACTCTTTCCACAGTCCATTACAGCCATTCTGTGGCATGGTATAAGGAAATGCGTCAATTCCAAATTAATAGAATTACTAGCAGTTACATGGAAAGGGCAGAGCACCTACATCATAACATTGAAATACCTTTTCTACAACAGGGATAACTACTCCGTTCTCTTCAACTTACCATGAATTTCACTAACATGTGTTTAACCCCTTTATTCTGTTCTTTTTCAAGAAAACAGGATCAGTGAGACTAACTGATCAGTTTGCCAAATTTCGAGGTAATTAGTGACATTTCACACATAGTTTCTAATTTACTCCTAAACAGGCAGTCCAGCCAGTCATGTGGGCTCCCTTCCCCACTCCTGAGACCTCAAGTGAGTAACTTTACTCTGCCTTGGGCAATAGCAGGCTTTATGGGAACCATTTAGAATGGTCAAGGGCATAAAGGAAATATATGCCGAAAGGGTGATCTTTTATAACCACTATATTCAAGTCAGGATTTGGTCTGACACCGAAATACGCTTACTCAATGTAATTTATAGATAGTATGTAGTTACTGAGTTTGAAAAATATCAGATCAATAACCTGGGAGACAAATGGTGATATAACCAACTTCACTCAAACTACTGACAGACGGACAGAAGGTTGACAATGTGCTATCTTTTTCTGCATTGTGGCGGGGTATAAAAAGGATATAAAAGAGAGACCAATAGCACTTTTCTTTCACCGTATTACCTCTACTTGACTGTCTTGACATCGGCCTCTGTAAAGATATAAAAAGCAATTTCCCTAGAAGCTATCAGCTTGTTTTTGGCTGGACAGATGTTTTTGTCACCCTAAACTTGGAAAAAATTCATTCACTATACATGGAACTACACCATGTTTTGTAAGCCACTTTATTTGATAAAGTTGTTTGAAAAAGATTTAAGTTGATAGCTAGATATGCTAATGTTTCTCTCATTAGAGATTCTTTCAAGATACCTTAATATGCCAATTAAGTATTTTTAGATAGGACCTTAAAGCAAGGATCCATACAGAATTAAAAATCACACAACCATTTTTCATTTATGAATTCAGTCAAATAACTGGCAAGTGGAAGGACAGAATAATGATTCCATTTTGTGTGTTTTTTTTCCTTCTTTTTTCAAAAAGATAAGGTTGATAAGGTTGGTAAGTTAGGAAAGAGGACTCTTAATTGTGTCTTGTGTACTTGACTTTACAAATATATACAGTACTGATCTGATATAGAAGAGCAAACAATGGATGTGAAGTTCAGTCTCCAGATTTCGGATCTCTGTTCTGACCTGAGCCTCTGGCCTTGCGACGAGCAGCACGATTCTCTTGCACTCCTCACTCGACAGCAACGCCACTGCTTCTTCTCGATTCTGGACGTCTTCCCCATTTATCTAGAAAACAAATGAAAGTGGCACATTAGTTTCCATTTCCACAATGCTGCACACAATAAATGGCAAATATCAGCTCATTTATGGTGAATGTATGGACAATGAAGCTCACACAATGGGCTCATCTTCAGCCCCTCAGTGGTAAGTGCCTTCACTCAATTACGCGCTTACTGTAAGAGCCATATCGATCCCTGAAGGATGGCGGACATCAGAGGAAGCAGTTATGTTCATAAATGTCCAACCTGCGCCCTGGCAACATACATCTAGCAACACAATTAACCAGCCACTGACAGGTGACGTTCATCTTTCTCCGCTCAGAGTAATGGAAGTGTCACTCTGAGATAATAGTGCTGGGGGAAGCAAGACTGGCAATACCACAACTGAAATCCGTCATCCTGCACGCCTGCTACGAGCCAATTAGAGAGCTACAGTATTATCTCTCACCAGGCAGTGCTCCCAGGCCACTGCTGATTGCATTTTCATTTAATCATCTCATATTTGTGTGGGTCTGACTCAGTTGCCCCAAATCACTCCCAGGATCTCTTTCAATTGCTTAAATAATCAAAAGAAGGAACAGTGCATCAGTAACATCCTCATCAACACTCCAGTTCTTTCTAAGGTTCATCCATTTCCTGAAACAAGAAAACTCATGAAATCTCTTAAGGCTCATCTCTTAAGTATACTTAACTTTTTAAAAACTAATACAGAGTAAAAATGGCTTTTGGAAAGAAACCAAGCTTGAGTAAACTTTGGATTAAAAAGACTCCAGTGGAATTCAATATATATATTTTCTTTCATTTTTCTAAGTTCTACTTAGAAATTTCAACTTTGGATTTAAAGGACTCCAGTGGAATTCAATATATAAATATTCAACACATATATATTTTACTTCTTTTTTCTAAGTTCTACAGACAGAGTAAATAAGGTTCCTGAAGTTTGTATTTTAAGCTACATTTTCACATCAAATGTATTTAGTGCTGAGTTAACTGAACTTTCTTTGGATATTTTATATTTATTTTATTTTATTGATTGATCAAATCCATGGAGACAATGAGATTTTTGATCCATAGCACATAATCAAAATATGCAGAAAGAAATTTCAGTTGAAGAGGTCAAGTGATTCTATCTAAAATAAGTATTATTTCAATAAATGGAAAATGTGAGGCCACCTGGGTGGCTTAGTCGGTTAAGCGTCCGACTTTCGCTTAGGTCATGATCTTGCGGTTCGTGGGTTCGAGCCCCGTGTCGGGCTCTGTGCTGACTGCCAGCTCAGAGCCTGGAACCTGTTTCAGTCTGTGACTCCCTCTCTCTCTGACCCTCCCCTACTCACGCTGTCTCTCTTTCTCTCTACTAGAAATAAATAAAAACATTAAAAAAATTAAAAAAAAAATAAATAAATGGAAAATGTGGCTGTACTGACCAATGTTTCAGTAATTAATATTTTCACTAAAGATTTCTGCAGAAAAGCATGAAGGAGACTAGTGAGAATTTTCTCTAGTGGATCTCTGGGATTCTGGCTGATACACAAAGATAGATATAATGATCAAAGTCCAGGAATTTCAACTTTGGACCACAATAAATTATTCTTACTTCTGGACTCTTATCATACATGTTGAACACAAAGAAAACAGACAATAAATAAGAGTTGGGGCAGGATCATACAACCATATGTTGTATTTTCTTACTCATCAAATGCATATCACCTTTGTTTTTCACTTGTATAAGTGGACAGGAAATTCAGCTTTTACAAGTTTCAAACACATTTCTTTTTTTTTTTGGCAACTCACAATAAAACTCATCAAATTAGGAAACAGAAGCTATGATTCCAAAATGGAAACTAATGACTGGAAAGGGTATTTTGTGGTTTTTCATAAATATACATCTGAAAAGCTATTTTTGTACTGAATCCAAGGCTTTTTCTCAAATGAAGAGAAATTGGCAGTGATGGATTCCACTACACCTCCCCCATCCCCAATTAAGCATAGTTTGAAAATAAGGACTTGAAAATGTTTACCTTCTTTGAGCTTTGAGAGTTTATGTCCACTTCATAGTAATTCTTAATGGTGTATCTGCAATGCATCTATTTGTCTATCAATTACGGACCTAATTGTTCATCTTCCTTCCACTATTGGCATGGTTGCTCCTAGGGAGACTGAGGTAGATGCACTCTCCCACTTCTCTTCACCTTTTATGTGTGAAATCCAATTCTCATCACTTTTTTTTTCACTCCAAGTATGTACATCCAAATTCTGCATCTAAGGTTCCCTCACCACTAACCTAGATACTCTTCATTCATGGTTATTTAATGTTACTATTACGGTCTCTATATTAAAGTGCAGATACTAGTGCCTTCCTCAGAGTGTTCTTATAAGGACTAAAAGAGTTAATATATGTCTAGGGTTGAAACAAGTGCCTGGTAAACAGGAAGTGTTCTAGGCTGGCACGTAGTGCGATTGATGTTACTGTTCTTGCTATTATTTATTATTATTACTACTATAATATTATTGATGTTTATATTTTAATCCTCCATAAAGGAAAGGTTATTTTCTTCTAAATAAAGCAAGTACATTAAAATTCATGCACAATAAATAAGTCCATAGTAGTAAAGGTGGTTTACTACTCTACACATCTACCTCACACGTACTTTTAACTCTTAGAGAGCCATCAAGAAACAATGTGGTTGTGTTTGATTTCCAGGCCCATTACAACTGGTATTCATCTGCCTCCTCTGTGAACTCAGCATGAGCAGGGCCACAGTCTCCAGAGCCCGCACTATGCACTTGTCTTGGAAGGACAGATCCCACGTTGTAGATACATTTACACTCAGAATCAGAGGTAGAATGAAATGAATTCACCAAAGAAATCTGGTGTTAGAATGTAATTTCTTGTTTCTTTTCAAAATTGTTTCTTTTTTTTCAAAATTGTTTCTTTAGCCAACTGGTTGGCAGATCCTGTTGAACTCAGGACATGAGTTTGATACCCCAGCTGATATTCGGGCAAGAAATGCAGTCCTGGGTTTTAGTAAAGAATGAAAATATTTGAGGAATGGAATCAGATAGAGCTTTCAGCTTTCATATGTTTTTGTTCTTGAAGGATGGTTTGTGGCTACAGGCTGCTTGTGGGAAGGCAGTTTGCTGTGCCTGAAAACACCAGGCAGGCATAAAGGTGAAGGACCCAGAATCATAGGGAGGAGAGGAGATAAATGAATCAGTGTGATGCCACAGATTAATGAAAGACTTTCATTTTAAGAAAAGAGAGGGAAAGGGAACCAGGAGAAAGGCAATATGTAACTTTTGTTACAATGAGGAAAAACTGTGCTAGAAAATATGTCTTGTCTCATTATCCGTGTCTGGGCATATGTAAACATCGGTTTCAAAGCAGATATTGCCTTGGCTTAGAAGAGTTTTGTGGTATTACAAAGATAAATCAGCCAAAATCTCACATTACGCCCAATCTGCAGTATGTGCATGAGTGTATTTGTATATGTGTTTGTGTGCACATGTGTGTATAGCCCTAAGAGCCTAGAAATGGTTTAATACAGCTTTTTTGCTTGAATGTGCTGATTTTTAGGTTACCTATATTAGTACACCAGAGGTGGGTGGGCAACTAGGAGTCTTGGCATCTAACCAAGACTTTTAGTTGCCCACCCACCTCTAACCACCTATAGAATTTAGCTGAAAACCCAGGATCGAAGGCAAAAGAGAAATGATCTATTTCAAGTGAGCTTATATTTTAATGTGGAAAGAAGGTGAATAATGTACAGGGATATAGAGGTGGAAAGAACAGAAATGGGGAAAAAACAGTTATCAAAGGGGAAGAAAATAAAAATGTAGGAATAAATGTCAGAAATAAGTTTTGGTGTAGGGCAGAGAAAGAGAGAGCGAGCTCATTTGAAGTCTTGCTGTTGTTGCACTGCTTGAGCTGCAGGATTTGAACGGAGTAATTTTTAGGAACATGACACACGTTTGTGGCCAACATGAGATCAGGCCATGGTGTGGAATATTGCTATGCTCCTTACCCCCAGGAGGAAATGAGAATAGAGCACTCTGATCATGTATGTGGTCTTTAATCCTTTCTCTCTGGGGCTCAGAAAGGCTTGTCTTCACTCAACACTGCAGTTTTGTGAGAGGACTTCCCCATATTAATTCCTGAGGACACATCTGATTCCACAAGTGTGTGGCGATGGCACAGAAGACAGACCCCCTGAGGGCTTGCAGGGGAAAAGACACATGAGATTTAGAACATGCTCTTGTGAAACTGGTCCATGGTTTTTCTTCTGTATAATCCCTACGTTGGGCCAACCCCGTGTGAGTATCTGTGTGGGTTGTGCCACTGGGCAAGGTCCCATGATACAGGACATTTAGAAAATTTTAGCTCCACAGTGAGGATCAGACCATAGAAGTATTCTACTTAGGTCATCATGAACAGGAAATTAAAACCAGAGTTGCTCTAAAGAGATTCATTTAAATAAAAGCCAGCCAGGAAACTCCAAGGATAAGAAGTAAATCCTCTCTTTCTCCCCCTCTCATCTCCCTGAGACAGGAGTCATTAATTGTTCATTACCGGGTATCCCATAATCTCCTCATCAACCATATGGGAGCTATTTGTCTATGGGTACAATTTTGTCACAGTTTTATTTAATATGATTTCACCATTACCCTTAAGACTCTTTGTTTTCTGTGTGTACAAATAGACTTGAATTCTAGGCTTTTTAATGTGACATGTATTTGTTCATTAAGTGTGACATATTTGTCACTGAGTATAAAGTAATCAGGCAGACAGCGGCATTTTGTCAATCCTGCTGTTGTTTCTTCAATGAACCCACTCCATTAAGGAACGCCCTGGTATCCTGCAAATATTGTATCTGGAAACTTTATCTGCCTCTAATAAAGTCACAGATAAGGAAGTGTCAAAATACATAGTATGCATATATGAAAATACATATACTTTATTTCAATCTACCTCTACTCCTAGAACTAACAGATGGAATTTTAATAACTGCATTTGTATACCTAGTTTATGGGGCAGTGGTCAGCTGGATTAGGAAGGAAGCCAGTGAGGGTGCAGTACAAGGTGTCAAATGTGGAGAGTAGATGGTGAGAGAGAGGAGTGATGGCTGGAAAAAGCAAGAGAAAAATGACAAAAAACAGATCCAACACATCAGAAAATCTTCTAGACCTTTTGGCCATGGAGCGCTTTGTTGTATTACCGTATTGCGCAATGATTGCTGGGCACAACATACCCTTGAGCATCAAAAGAAGGTTACATTCTTTTCGGGACAGCTGGGTGGCTCAGTCGGTTGGGCCTCTGACTTTCGCTCAGGTCATGATCTCACGGTTTGGTTCCTGACTTCGAGCTCTGCACTGGGCTCTCTGTCGTCAGCACAGAGCCCACTTTGGATCCTCTGTCCCCCTGTCTCTCTGCCCCTCCCCCACTTGTGCTCTTTCTCAAAATTAAACAAATGTTAAAAAAAGGTTACATTCTTCTCAAGTGAGTATATTCAACTGTAGATGTCAGTAAGGTGAACAACACATTTATAATTATTCCTAAATCAAAATGATAACAATAAAATTTGTTTGGAGGTTTTATTATCTGGATGACTCACAAAAAAGTACCCTAATTTTTTTTAGTGAGGCTGTATCAGTAAAGCTTTACTGCAGATTTGATCCATCTATCCTATTGCCTTTTCCACTAAATGCCGATGCTTCATTCATTCATTTATTCATGTGTGATTGAGAAAGACATTGAAAATATGGTAGCAAACAAGACTGTGCCTTTGTTTCCTGACTTACTTTCCCTTCCCCTGATATAGCCTATGACACATTCCGTTTTGTTAAATTACAGGTCACCACTTAGGGAGCAAGAGAAATAGAAGTTACATAGTCTTGAAGTTTTTGAAAAGTTAGGAGGACTATGAATGACCATTAATTCATACTTTTATTCTTTCCTAACTGGAGCCTTAGTAGAGTTTTCTTGATGAAAAAGGAGTTCTGCAGTATTTAGCTAGGGAAGAGAAAGGACATGAAGTGCTGTGAATCAGCGAGTTGTACCCTGAAGAAAGGGAAGAATAACAGAAGGCTGGGCAGGATAACCTTCTGGTATGTGCCCAGGGCAGTGTGGGCACACCTCTATCATGACAATGCCACACTGTATCGTAATCATCTGTGCATGCAGCTGTCTTCCCCGGGAGCCCCAAATGCTGGGATGGGATCTTGTCTATTTTTGGAGCTTTCGTTCTAGGCAGTGTTGAATCCATTCACGTCAAATGCAAAGAAACATCCTTCAGGGGTTTGCATCTAGTAAGGAGAAATGGGAACTTTAGGTCTGTCACAAAGACTAAAAGCTATGTGGAATGTTTTAACAGTTTATAGCTTTCTCAGTTCAGCTTTTAAGTTATCTTCCACTTTGTAGTTGTGATCTGTAGTGAAACTCAACCCTGAAGAGCCTCTCTTCTTAGTTTGGGTTAATCTGGACAAAAAGGCTGGGGAGCTATGTGTCTTTCTGTAGGCATTCTGTACGAGAAAGGGCTAAGAGGAGGCAGAGCGGGTCAGGGTGGGTTTAGGGCAAAAACTGCCATTCAGGGTTATTCCTAATTTGGCCTGGAATTCTTTTTTTTTTTTTTTAATATTTTTATTTATTTCTAGGAGAGAGAGAGAGGCAGCATGATAAGGGGAGGGTCAGAGAGAGAGGGAGACACAGACTCTGAAACAGGCTCCAGGCTCTGAGCTGGCAGTCAGCACAGAGCCCGACGCGGGGCTCAAACCCACTAACCGCGAGATCATGATCTAAGCAAAAGTCGGACGCTTAACCGCTTAACCGACTAAGCCACCCAGGCGCCCCGAGGCCTGGAATTCTTACCAGCTCCACCTCCCCCTTATGGTCTGCTCGTCATCTTGCTCTTTGAACTGAAATTTAATCAGTCTCGATGTTTTCACTTTTCCATGTGGACAAGAAAGCATTGCCCTCCACCTGTCCCCAGCAACAAATAAAATTCTTCAGACTTCTAGACTTTCATATAGTAATGGAACACAGGAATCCATGTTTACCTAATTTATTCTGGAAAAGGCAGCAATAACTGGTGCTGCTGCTGCTAGTAGTAATATAAGTTAATGTTTATTACTTACCATGCCGTGTGCTAAGTATACCACATGCATAATCACATTTAACCTTTGCAACAATATGTTTTATTATTATCATCTTTTAAGATGAGGAAACAGGCTTATGATGAGAGGTTAAGTTACGTGCCCGGGTAAATGGTGGAGCTGGAAGGTGAAGAGGAGTTATTCATGTCCAGAGATTATGTCTTAATCACTAATTATTAGCTAATAATGCTGAATGAATGATACCATCCTCACTTTAAAAACATTTTTACATGATAGCGTTTTGTTTTGTGAATGTTAATATCTAGGAAAGACAAATTCTTTTCTTAGTGTTTTTTTTTTTTATTAAAAAAAATAAAAGTGAAACTATTGAACAAACAGTAGGAAACTAAAGGAAATGACTATGTCACATACTTGCAAAATACGATCCCCTTCTCGAATTCGGCCATCTTTGGCAGCAATGCTATTTGGATCTACCTGTAATGGCAAAAACACACATCTTCAACTGGATAAGCAATATTCCCCCAGAGACTTCAAAATATTTTTAGTGACCTGGTTCAAAATTCTCTACTGATTTACATAAGGCATGCCAAATTTTTCTGTCAAAAATCACTGATTCTAAAAATAAAAATGTACTAATTTAGAATTAATAATAATAGAATTAAAAAGAACTAGAGCAAAACTTAATCTGAAGACTGTTTTTCTCTCTCCCCCCTCCCTTTTTCTCTTTCCTCTCTGCTCCTTCCTTCCCTCCCTCCTCCCTCTATTCTTTCTCTCTCTCCTTTCTTCCATCTTCCCTCTGTCCTTCTCTCTTTCTTTACTGTTCTTTTCTTTCCTCCCTCCCTCCCTCCTTCCCCCTTCCTTCCTTCCTTCCTTCCTTCCCCTTCCCTTCCTTTTCCTTTCCTTCCTTTCCCTTTTTTTTTCCTTTCCTTTCTCCTTTTTCTTCTTCTTCTTCTTCTTCTTCTTTTTTTTTTTTTTTTAAAACATCCATTCACTCATTTCTGTATCCAGACTGTCAGGTATGCTCCTCAGCTGACACAATCTTTAGCAGATGTTAGAACTAGAATTCTCTGGACCCAGGAAATTTGCTTTCTACTAGAGTGATCTTTAAATCCTGGTTTATATGTCTTAGAAAAGCTGACAGCTACACTGTAAGTCCATACTTATTAAAGAAATTTCTGTCTCATAAGCACATTAACTTATAGAGATTTATATTTGATGTTGCTCAAAAGATGAAAAACAAATCCTATCCATGTAGATTATTACTAGGCTCTACTTTACATTATAGGATAAAGTGTATTAACTACAAATTATTTTAGAATAAATAGATATTTGAGACTCTATTAAGAGTTTACCAACATTTTAATGGGCCAAACTTGAGTCATGACTTACAGTTCACTGGGGTAATTCCATCTATCACATTTTACAGGATGGCTCTAAGCCATTTATTTGAACTTATTGCATCAAAGGTTTTATTTCAAGCAAAGTATTTCAAGTGTAGCATGAGGTTGATCCATCCTGTGCAGATGTTAGATATTACTTTCTTCTCCACCTAATAAGTGAATTTTAAGTAATCAATTAAGAACAAAGACACTATAATTCATGTAAGAAGTAGAAGGAAAATATTCCCTCCAAGTACATATGTTCAGTTCCTGTGGCTTCATTTTTATCCCTGGAAAATTAAGTTCCAAAGTTGACATATTTAAATAGTAAATAAGAGACTTACTGGAGGGAAGTGAGGCACAATTAATCAACTATATCCTACTGAGAAGTCATAGGCCTGTAATCAACCTAATGCTAAACTTCAACACTTGTACCTCTGTGCATATCACAAAGGACAACTCTGCAGGTATTTCCTTCTGCTTCCTCACCATATTAGAAGAATTATCATCGCTGTCCATTTAAAAGAAGTATATAAGTCAATTATTCTCTGGAGATTTTTCCATTGCAGAAGCCAGTCAGTAAAGTCTTTGGTAAAGTGATAAAGAGTAACATTTACATTTATAGAGCTGTGCAGTTTTCAAAGTGCATTAAATACATCATCCTTTCCATATTCTAAACACCTCTATAAAAGCAGTGAGATAGGCATTGTTGTACCAAGTTTCTAGTTGAGGAAGCTGAAGCTCAGTAAGTTAGGTAACGACTTTAAGATAATGGCCAAGAACACTTGAAACAGCATGGGACATCAATTCGTATCTATTTGGTCTAACTTCTTTTTCACACACATATATATATACATACATGGCTTCACCCATATATATGCGTGTGCATATACATATATATGGAGAAGTTAGACAATACACATGCATCTATATGTATATATATAATTTTAGTCATACATACATGTAATTAAAATAAATTACACCTTACTGCTTCTCACAATATGATTCTTTTGGGAGTCTTAAAAAGTCACCTATAATAATAAATTTTGCTTCATGGTTTTTCCAAAGCAATGAATTGAAGAGTGTTTCACATTTAAGTAACTCACTTTCTGACAGTGATTATGCAGTTGAACAAAACAAACTCATAGACACCCTCTTGGATATTCAAGTTTATCAGTCCTGCCAGCAGAGTAAAATATGTGATATCTGTGATATGAGATTTAACACAATTAGTCAGTGCTCTTGTTAACAGCACTGATAAAAGGGATGGAAAGACAAATGTTTGCTCATCAAAAACTTTGCTTAAATTTCTGCATACTTAGGAAAATTTATTCAAATTTAGGCAATGGTCCCATTTTTGCACTTTTCCTTACTGGGATTCTGTGGTGAAACTGTCCACATTAAACAAGCTGATAATAATTACATTACTTGGGCAACATAATTTACTTTCCTAATTGAAAGTGACAAGTACTGGAACATGGCCAATTCTTCACATTCAAGCCTCCCAAGGATTTTCTCATTGCAAGTCATTTGACTCCATTCCTCACAGTCTCCCTCCCCCTCCTTATCCTCCTCAGCATTTCTTACCTCGCTGACATAAATGCCCGTGTCTTCTTCATCATCTGTTCGGTAACAGACTGTCAGGCCCAGCTTCTCTTGACTGCTAACACGACACAGCTCGACCTCCTGAGAGAAAAACACACACAGAACGACATTTATCTCTGAGAGAAATCCCACAGCAGAACAGAAAACTCACTGATATTCCCTGGATCATGCTGGGAGCTTTTCATAATTATTGCCAAGCATTTGAAATTAACTTACATTACCAAGATCACCCAAATTTACTCCAGTCTGTATATTCAAGCCAATGTTTCCAGTTTTCATTGTACAATTGGAGAGAGAAGTGCGATTCTTTTGTATAAAATCATAAACTAAAAACCCCTTAAAATTATAAAGTATAAAATATGCACAAATCAATAAGATGGAATCAATAAAATATCAGAGACTGTCAAAGTAGGTAGAGAAATGTTCATAAAAATATTGGGAGTTACTTTGATTTTACTTATATTTTATTAAAACCAAGTTTAAATAAAACTATCAATTTTTTTGAGCTCTGTACAGTACAATCATAAGCAAGTATTTTGTATAGCTCAGGCCAAGGCTTTCTCTTATTTTGTGGAAGCTCTCACCCTTGGAATGAAATGGGTTCATCCAGGCTGAAGGGAGAGACACCAGCAGTCATATGGGCAGAGGCAATGATTCAAAATGCAGCCGTAAATGAACATGGGAACACATTTACTGAAACACATGGCTAAGGGGCTTGAAATGTCAGTCCTTAGGTAATGTGTATTGAATCTATTTCCTGATTTATGTTCAGTAAAATTATAATAAATTTCAGTGTACTTCATTTTTCTATGATGAAATAGACTTGTACTACTCTCAGAAACAGGCGACTTTAGGATAATCTCTTAATTCCAAGCACTAAAAGACAAATTGATGTTCTCATCATGGAGAACTTGTTCCTATTGGATGAAGAATATCAAATTCTTTAGTAAATGATGAGATAGAATGAAATAAATTTACAATGGAAGAGGAATGTGGATTAAGTTTCTGGAACTTGTGGGAGTTGCAAATTTGTCTGTCATGCTCAGAGTTCTTTCTCTTGGTCCTAGAACAGGGATAGGCACACGGCAGGCACTCAGTAAGTCCTGGCTGAAGGGTGCCGGGTTTTATATCATATCCTTCCTGCTGTTTGTAACTTTTTGTAAAAAAAAAAATAATTAAGTAGTTTAATTATGGAAATGGGACATGGATTGTGTGTATGTGTATATGTGTGTGTGTGTGTGTACATGCATGTGTATATGTGAATGAAAAGAAGGTTATGAAGTTTGATTATAGTAAGAATCTATTTAACTGTGTTTTATCTGAAACAGTTGCCAGGACTAAATAAAGGAAAAGTCACTTAACTTCACACAAGAGGATATTTTCCAATATGCTCTGCTACACTTGAAGAAGGCTCTTCCCTTTCAATTTGGTATCTCAGTGAAGGCTTTGTCATTGGAAAATAACCATTGGATTTTAATGACATGCTATAAACCATAGGTAAATCCTTAGCAAGGGGAGACCATCATGAGCTCTAGTGACCAATAATTTCATAGCTGATAGCAAACAAAACCAAATTTAGATCCTCTGTCTGGAGATATGTACTGCAAATTGGTAAATTCCATGAAACCGTGAAGAATGAGTTTCTAACTGGTGAAAAAGGGCATGTTGCATGCTAAACAGTAAAGAAAAAAGGTGGGAAATCCTTTCACCTTGGGGAAGAGTAGGAACCAGTGGGATGATTTGACACCGGAAGTAAATCATTATACACCAAGCAAAGGTATTTTCAAAACTGGCCATAATTAATGCTTCCAGAGGGAAAGAACACTTGAGTGAAACTGTAACATTAGGAAGAAATTACAGCAACAAAAGAGCTTCAATTACAGCAGTGCAGTATACAGTTAAGGAGTAAAGAAGCTTATGATTCCTAAGAGACCTACAAGGAAGCCTAAACACTCCATAAAGAACTGAGATTGGGACCTTTAAATTACAGCAAATGAGGAGCTGTAGTCAAAGCTGAAATGCATTGACTTTCAGTGTCCTTCCACTAGCAGGGGAGAAACTCCCTGTACTGTGGGAAGACACTTCTAGAAGGAGCTTTGGTTTTGTGAGTGTTTTCCCTACATTCTCAATGCTATGCCATGGTGTTGGTGTTTGTTTAGAAGATGAATGATGAAATGCTCTGCAATAAAAACAAACCAATGTATTAAGATAAGAAGGGCAGAATCCACCCATATGACTTCAGCACCACACATCAGAGCACCTACTCAAGAGTCACAAGGAAAAGAAGACTAAGATCTTGGGCCAACATAAGTTTTCAATATCGACATCATACTGGACCTAAGCAAAACTGTAGAATAGGTCTCAAAGTTACCTGTAACATCTTCCATTTTAATATCCCATTTTAAAGACACTCCATACCCTCCTATTTCTTTCTAACTGCCCGAAGTTCCTAGAGACCTGCCTATCTAGGCAGCCACTGGAATTTCAGGTTTGACATCTTATCTATCCCCTAGCAAAATTGGGCATATAATGTTATCTTCTATTCTCTCACAAGTAGCTCTGAGGATATAAAGAAAATTGATAAATTATTTCTTAGAGAGATTATCGTTAATAATTATTTTTTATTAGATTTTTATTTTTGATTCCAGTATGGTCAACATATGGTGTTATATTAGTTTCAGGTGTACAATTTAGTGATCCAACAATTCTATACATTACTCTGTGGTCATTGTAATAAGAACAACCTTAATCCCCATCATCTATTTCACCCATTCCCCCACCCACCTCCCCTAAGGCAACCATGTATTTGTTCTCTATAGTTAAGAGTCTGATTCTTGTATTAATAATTATTTTAAATGTTGCCCACTTCAGGTTTGGTTCATACTAATAAAGACTGGAAATACAAAGCCTTAATTCAAAGGACTGAACTTGCGGTGGGAGGATTCCAGGCTCTAAAGGAGGCTCAAGTGAGATTTCCTGCATTCCACAAACCATCCAACACCAGTGCCAAATGTGGACTTGCCATTAGTTCTCTGGTTGAGAATGTTTCAGACATTGCATATTTCATTTTAGCACAACAGAAGCATACATTTTAGAATCAAAGTTCCTTTAATTCTATGATGAGATAACTTCTAAGCAGCTACCTGTAGAGCATTTTTTTGTATGAGGCAAAGGTGGCTTTGTAAAGCCTGATTACCTGAAAGAAATTCTCTAGTACAGGTTTAATTTAGTATTCCTTTCACAAAGCACACAAGCCTCTGACTTCTGAAGAAACAACCTCCTGGTAATAGAGAATGTTTTCCCTAACAACTTTCATACCTTTCCCTCTGTTACTAGGAAGCTGTTTGATGAAAAACATAAAAGTGAAATGCTACCTCTGTACATTTTCTCCACAGAGACAATTCACAGGTGTATACGAATCAAAGCCAGGCATGCACGATGGCGCTGCTAACCATCCTGAAGTCATTTGTGACTGGAGTAGAAAAATCACTTCATATACCTGGTAAAACTACATTCATTTGGCTTAAATGTGCTTTAAGATGCTATGTTCTAGGAATATGTATCAGGTCCCTTTCTTTTTATCTTTTTTTTTTTTTCTTTATTTTTGAGACAGAGAGAGACAGACCATGAGCAGGGTAGGGTCAGAGAGAGAGGGAGATACAGAATGTGAAGCAGGCTCCAGGCTCTGAGCTAGCTATCAGCACAGAGCCTGACGTGGGGCTCGAACCCACAAACTGCAAGATCATTACTTGAGCTGAAGCTGGACACTCAACCAACTGATCCACCCAGGCGCCCCTCAAGTCCCTTTAAAAAATAAAATCACAGTGTCTAATCCTGTGAGAAACTGATTGCATGGAGACTGAGGGTGGAGTAGAAGGTTAAAGTCAATTAGTAAAGCTTGCTGTGAAATGTCCTTCCAATCATAGAAAGAATGGGATTTATATAAATAGGTTGCCCTACACTACTGTAAAATTTTTGCATATTTTATTATTGGGTCTAAAGAGAAGCCAGGAACTTAAAAAGAAAAAAAAAATCCATACTTTTGCTTTCTAGATACAACTATGTTGTTGGAGGAAGAATGGGGCTTCCAAGTACCTATGATGGCTTTTTAGGCAAATTGTTTCCAAACTCAAAAGAGTTCTGAGGCCCATGCCGTGAAGACAGAGGCAGTCAGTACGATGTAAGTCTGAAGATGAACCAGGGTCAGTCAGGATGGTCATTTATGTCAACTGATAATCACAAGAAACAGGGGATACAGGGGTCTATTGTGCTCATATCTTCCTTTTTATTTTATTTTACTTTACTTTATGTTCCTGGTTTATATTTATCAGACAAGAGATGCCCTACTATACAAGCTTAGTATTAATCATATATCCTTGTCTTACATTTTGTAGTGTTGATTAGTAACTAGTGGAATACCATGCTGAGTTGTTCCAATGAAACATTTATTTAAAAAAAGAAATAATGGGAATTATAAAAACTTTAATTCCCACATCTAAGGGAAGCTAGATAGTCTTCTGTGAAAATACGGCTTCAATATCATTATCTCAGTAGTGGAAACCAGGTATAATACTTAGCAAGAAATAAATAATAAAATCCCAGAATCCCCACATCACTATGGCAACAACAGGCTCACACACCCATCTCCAAACACCTAAAATAAGCTGCTGCAACTGGTAAATAAATCATGTTTCTATAGAAACAATAGGGTAAAAGCGAGGTCATATGGTCACATCTTTCCACTAACATCCTTAACCTCAGGTCTTTAGTCAACTACTTTTTCTTTAAAAAAATTTTTTTAATGTTTTATTTATTTCTGAGAGAGACAGAGAGAGAGAGGAGAGAGAGAGAGAGAGAGACAGACAGACAGACACAGCGTGAGCAGGGGAGGGTCAGAGAGAGAGACAGAGACACAGAATTGGAAGCAGGCTCCAGGCTCTGTGCTAGCTGTCAGCACAGAGCTCGAGGGGAGGCTCGAACCCACAAACTGTGAGATCGTGACCTGAGCCAAAGTAGGGCGCCTAACCGACTGAGCCACCCAGGTGCCCTCAACTACTTTTTCTTTCTCAATTATATTGTTG